CTCTCTCTCTCTCTCTCTCTCTCTCTCTCTCTCTCCCTCCCTCCCTCTCTCTCTCCCTCTCTCTCTTTCTCTCTCTCTCTCTTTCGCCACCCCCTCTCTCTCACACACACACACACAAATATACACATGTACACTGAGCATTTTCATTTGTGGGATATATTACCAAAATATTGTACAATTTCTTCCTTTGTGCTTAAATGTCATTAATGACACAATGGTGCCATCTACTGGGCAAAAGCTCTCTATCACCCTTTCCCATACACGAACGTGCAGTTATCCCTTCCACATCAAGATTTTCCCCATTGCCATTTTAATATATTGCAGATCAGCATAAGAAATCAAATGGGAATGTTGTCAGTTTTGCAGAAGCCACAAACAATACACAAAGGCCAGCAGATGACACAGAAAAAGTTTAGAAACTCAGAAATGCATAGAATATATGTATAGTATTATATAATATCAACATATTTCCTTTAATACTATAATAAGTCAGACTTCTTCCCTGGTATGAAGGGAGGGAGGACCAAAAAGTTTTAAGAAGATTTTCCAGATGGGGGGGCACCACACCCCTAACCCTCCCCCCTTCTTGGGATGTGGAAGGATAACTGTACATTCAGGATCAGGCTGATGGTGTTCTATCATCTAACCGAATGATGTCAATCAATGGGCATTTATCAAGAACCTAAAACAGGCCAACTATTGCACTGGGCACTAGAGATACATAAACAACTGTGAAGCAGTCCCTGTCCCTAAAGAATTTATATATTTTTAATCTATCTAACTACCTTAGGGCCCAGAGAGGTTTAAATGATTTGCCTAAAAGTTACAGAGTTAAGTTAGTTACTTTCACATTTAAGAGTATTCACTTCAGGTAGACCCTGGACCACTAATATCAATCAAAAAGAAATTCAAGAACAATGAGAGAGAAAAAGTTACTCCAAATATGTTCCCCATCAATTAAATCCAAATTCCTCCAGAATTCTTTTATTTGGCTCCTCGAAATTCCTGTCTGATCTTGGTCAGACCAGCTGATGAAGCCAACTGATATCAAGCTCAATGTTCACCTACACCATATGGGAAGAGGCGCCATGTTGTCACGGGAAAAACATTGGATTGGGAATCGAGAGATCTCTGTTTTAGTTTTAACACTAAAACCAGCTAGCTGGGTAGCTAATTTAGCTGTGTAACTTTTGAACAGGTCATTTGAATCTCTCTGGGACTCAGGTCTAACCCCAGAGGGTTAGACAGATGATAACTAAAGTTCCTTCAACCTTAAAAATTCTCTGATCAGCCATGGAAATGAGAAGGAAGAACCTGGCTGAAAGGGTTCATGAAATCCTTTTCAAGGAGACCTCCCACATCCTTCCCTCCTATGAGAACAAGAAGGGGAAGAAAGAGATGACTGTTGGAAAGTTCTATGCTTTCTTTGGGTCCTACTCTATGAATACTGTTGCTTCCCATATATTGCTTGGCAGCCAATAAGAAGACACTATCTGCCATTAGATCACACTTCTGGCTCTCCACACAGATTTGGGAGGCTCCGAGAACGTCCCAGGAGTACATAATGGAACTGGTTTGAGCTCTCAGCATCCACTTCAGACTGCAGTTATCTTAAAGGTTTTATCCTGAAAAAGGCCTTAATGAGGCTTTACCTAGTAGCATTCAAAGCCGTGGTAATGATTTTAATTATGTCTTAGACTCATTTCAAAGAAAATGACATAAGTATAAATATCAACGTGAGAAACAGCATTCTACATTCGTCATTCACCTCCAGCAACATGCATGAGAATTGAACATTACTATTGTCAGATTTGTTATGTGAAATTCAAGAGCATTCACATAGTTTCAGAAGATTTGTAAAAATAGCCTCACTAGTAATGTAATCTGGATGAAACTATTCATTGCCAGTTAACATAAAACAATAATAATATCACCTTACGTACTTCAGTATCTATCTTTGTAAAGATCAAATATCCAGGGGTATTTCCTCTTCTTTGACAGAGATGGTAGTAATGATGATGATGATGATATTAATCATAATAATAAAAACTAACATTTACATAACATCAGGCACATGCTTTACAATTTTCAATCCCATTTGATCCTCACAATAACCCAGGGAGATAGGTGCCCCATTTTAGGGATGAGGAAACTGAGGCAAACAAAGGTTAATTGACTTGATATTTATATGTGATTGATCTTTACATGAGTTGAAAAAGGGATATTGACAGGGAAACTGAAAAAGGAGGTGAGCCAATCATATAGTTGGAGGGTTCCTTGTATTCAAACAAACACTCTCCTCACAGTCAAATAACATCCATATAATAATTATCATAATAATTTTAAAATAATGATGACAGCTAGAATTTACATAACATTTTAAGGTTTGGAAAGCACTTTACAAATATTATCTCATTTGATCTTCACAACAACCCTGGGAGGTAGATGCTAATATTATCTCCATTTTACAGATGAAGAAACTGAGGCAGACTGAGGTGAATTGACTTAGTCAATGTCACACAGCTAGTAAGTGTCTGAGGCTGAATTTGAACTCAGGTCTTCCTAACTCTAGGTCCAGCGTTGTACCATCAAGCTCCCTCCATTCTATGTTTATATTTAATTATTTATAATATATATAGAGCAGTAATTCTAAAATAGTGTGATCCAGGGACCTCTAAGGGTTAAAACCATTTTCATAATAATACTAGGATTTTTTAATTTCCAATAATGTGAATACAGATAGCTATGATGCACAGAAACAAAAGCTCTTTGGAAACCTGCAAAGGCTGAGAATCATGGATCTAGAGAAAAGCCCCAACATGCTGGGCAGATCCCCCTGTGAAAGATCCATGGGATGGTATAGACCAGAGATGGAGAACCTGCAACCCAGAGGTCCCACGTGGCCCTCTAGGTCCTCAAGTACTGCCCTCTGACTGAATCCAAACTTCACAGAACAAATCCGTTTAATAAAAGGATTTATTCTGTAAAATTTGGACTCAGTCAAAAGGCTGCACCCAAGGACCTAGAAGGGCACGTGTGGCCTCAAAGCCACAGGTTCCGCACCCCTGGAACAAAAAAAAAAAAAAAAGTTGCCCAGGATGAGAAAGCATGGATGGGTACCAATGCATACCACGAGAAAGTACCCACATCGATGAGATCTCAGATCCATGAGCACATCAAAGAATCAAAGACATTCAATTGGGTTTTAAGGTTTTCAAAGCACTTTTATACACACAATATCAAAGCTATCAATACTTCCAGCCAAAAATAATAACAGTAGCTCACATGTATACAGTAGCTAAGGATTCCAGCATGTTTTCCTCAGAACAATACTGTGAAGTTGGTGCTGTCATCAGTTACAAATGAAAAAAACAGAGACCCAAAGGAGTCCGTGGCACAAGCCGAGCTCTCTCTGCCCTCTTGCCTGTCTCCCATGAGCCTTGAAAGCAGGCAGTTAGATGAAAGTCAAATCTGGCCCTGAGCTAGATTTTTATTCCAAAATAAATATGTAAAGATACTAAGGGATAGTTTTTCAAAAGTGAATGCAATTGGCATGCTTGCCAAGTTGCCAGCATTTCCTTGAACCCAACGTTCATGTTCACGCTTGCTTGATTCTGAATGACAACACATTTCTGTAGGCACAGCTGGATTGAAATCTTCTTGGGGAAGGGGGAGGGATCAGAAAAGGAGCAGGAGAAAGGCCAGTAACTATTCCCAGCTTTGAAAATCTAAATAGCACCTATTGGGAAGAGAGAGGATGAGCCTTTCAATATTGGGGTCGAAAGCAAAATGACCCAGTCATGAAATAGTACACCACTCTTGGCAAAACCAGAAATACCCACTGGCCTCTCTTTCTCACGTTTCTGGAAGAAATGTCCCAGTATCAAGAAATTCCCCTATGAAGCCAAGGTCCCAAATCTGAGCAAGGAGTCTGAGATCTGCTGATAACCTATTATCTGGAGAAAAGCACAGACCTCTTGGACTGGACACATTAATGTCAATGGAGATTTCCTCAGTTCAAACAGCAGCAGATCTCCTGGAGACAGCTAGAATGCTTTTTAAACTCCCTAGAGAATATATTGCTTCCGTACTGCCTATGTGCTGCCTTGGAAAGATACAATTAACAAAGGCTCATACTCACTTGCATGCATAGTTTTCTAGCTCTGAAACATAAATGCACACTCCTCCATGGAGGCAGTATGAGTCATATGGTGGTGGACACTCTGAATTCCTGCTTCTGATGAGAGAGAAAGAGTCATCCCGGGGCTGAAAAGGTTCTGGAAGACAATGTTTCAAAAACATCTTTAAACCTTGATATTTTTAAAAATGATTCAGTCATTCTTGGCACAATTATACATGTTTAATCTACATAAACAGTTTATGATTTCTTTTTCATATCAGTGGAAATATTAACAGTGATGATGGTTTCACTTGTCCACCCAACCTTACCCTTCAACTACTAAAGTTGATGTGAATCATGATTTACTCAGACCTGCATTGCCTTTCTTCCCTTTCTCTTTTATTTGGCCTAGAGCATTCTACAGGCAGATAAGAGTGGGATAACAACTCCCAAAACAGTTAATTTCATTTCATTGAACTCAAAGAATCCCAGGATTTAGAGTTGAAAGGAACCTTTGAGATAATCTAGTTGACCCCTCTCGTTATAGAGATGAGGAAACTAAAACCCAAAGAGCCTAAAATGACTTGTCCAAGGTCACACAGCTAGCAAAGAGCAGATCTGGATTTTGAAACCAGGTCCTTTGACTTCCATGATTAAAAAGAAAGATCTATTTAATAAACAACACCTAATAACTAATGTCTGATGAGAGCTAACTTCAAAAGACTCACTCAAAACTGGTTATTTGTTCTTAACTTAAGGAACATCCATAGAGTACTTGACCCAAGAACTACAGTAGCTGTATTCATACAAGCCAGGGAAAATAAATTCTTTGAAAAAGTCATTGAAACGCCATCATAGGAAGGTCAACACCGTCATAGGAAGGAAATACTATGCATACTATGTGCCAGGCACTGTGCTAAGAGCTTTTACAACAGGATTGGAGATTTAGAGCCCACCCATTTCATAGGAAAACAAGGCCGAGAAAGCTAAAGTAACACCCTCCCTCCCCATGTAATCTGAGATCCAGCGACACTAGCCTCTTTTTGTATCCCTCAAACATGATACTGCATCTCCAGACTCCTGGCATTTTCACTGGCTGTCCCCCATTCCCAGAATGCTTTCCCTCATCTCCTCTTCTTGGTTTCTCTGACTTTCTTCAAGCCCCAGCTAAAATCCCACCTTCTACAGAAAGCCTTTTTCTGATCCCCCTTAATTCCAGTGATTTCCTTCTGTTGATTTTCTCCAATTTATCTTGGATTTCGCTTGTTTGTCCATAGTTGTTTGCATGCTGTCTCCCTAATTAGGATGTAAGTTCCTTGAGAGCAGAGGTTTTTGTATTTCAGAGTATTCCCAGTTCTTAGCACAGTGCCCGGCACAGATTAGGCATTAAATAAATGCTTATTGATTGACTAACTTGCTCAGCATCAAAAAGGGAAAAAGTAAAGATTCAAGCCCAGGTCCTCCGGATCCACAACCCACCCTCTTTCCATCGTATCATGCTGTCTTACAGTTTCCCGGAAATCTCTACCTTCCCCCACATCCAACTTTCTTCTTAAAACTACTTAGACTACTCAAGAATCCTTAAAATTAGAACAGCAACAGCTTTGACAGAAAGGAAACATTGGGATAATGAGAGAATGATATGTTGATGAATTCGTTTTATTACATGCTTCACTCTTCTTAGAAGGAAAAGCATCAGAGCACAACGTTGAAAGGAATGAGGGAGGATCTTGCTGAGATTTCTGCAAGGTGGCTAGAAATGCCAACACCTTTTCATCACCTCTAAGGAGAGGAGATTATGTGAGACGGTGAGGTGTTAGAAACAGAACTGCAGTGAAGTAAATTCACAAAAATTTTTTTTTTCTGCAAGATCTTGTCTGCTTACACAACTACCCCGGGAAGCTGCTAGTTTATCAGCTAGATGATCAAGGCAGGCAGGGATGCAAGAACCAGTCTAGGTGAAGTCCAGAGTTTCCTGGACATAAAGTGTGATCCATCAAAGGTTTCCTGTTTCTGGAGATATTTTCCTTCGAAGTTCAGCTCAAATGCAGGCTGCTGCAGGAAGTCTTTGTTGATTCTTCCCCCACTGCCCTCCTCAAAAAAAAAAAAAAAAAAAAACTACTTGCTAATTGCTTTGTAACTCTACTTTGTATATTTTCTATTTAATGTCCTATGTAGATGTACATGTTGTTTTCAAAAGAATGCACGCTCCTTGAGGGCAAGACCTGTTTTGGTTTTGTCTTTGTATCCCCAGAATGTATCGATGTGCCTGGCATATCGTATGTATTTAATAAATGCTTGTGGAATGAATAAGTGAGTGGATGGATGGGTGGATGGATGGATGGATGGATGGATGAATGAATGAATGAATGAATGAATGAATGAATGACATTGCTATTTTAGGGGGAAAAGACAAAAAAAGCCAAGGTTGAATATTTTCCAGCAGCAAGGAAGGAAGAAAAAATCATATGGAATTGAAGCTCTCATGCAAATAAAGAAATATTCCCTTTCATGTAACAAGGAAAAGAAAGTTGAGGAATAACCATTTCTTTTAATCCATTAAAGTAACTCTCACGCTAAAGGATATTTAGGAGCTCAGATGAATTCCCCTGACCTGCCTGGTATTGTAGAGGGCAGTTACTCCAACAGACTCTGACATCAACATTACAAATCAGGAGATTAGCAGCTTTGCAAAGTAATAAAAGAGATTCATTCCAGACACTATTAAATAAAGGCAACTTGGAATATTTGATTCTCCCAAGCCTAGCACCAACTAAGGCAGAATAGTTAGAGAATGCAGCTTAACATTGCTGAGTAATTCCCGGAACCTTCAGTGGAAACATCACTCACGAGGTTTGCTCTGAGTTAAGTAGCGTCTGTTCTCTGCACCACCAACTAACTTACCAGGACAGACAGATCCAGACCCAGGTGCACCATTAGAGCAGATGCATGCGTAGCCTCCCTCTGTATTTTTACAGATGGCATTTTCTCCACATTTATGCACTCCTGTTTCACACTCATCAATGTCTTCAAGAGAAGCAGATGTCAAGGGAAAGAAAAGAGATGACATGGAAAAAGGAAAAAGGAGACATAGTTAGAAAAAATGTAACATTTTGAGAGGAGATCAACAGAGTTCTATCCTATTCCCTCCTTTAGAATTGAACTGATCATTACACACGATGAGGTTACAAAAAAACAAAACCCAGGTCGAGAGTGTGAGAGACCCAAATCTAGTTCGTATCAATTTACTGCCTGTCCCTTCAAAACAAGAGCACCTGGCTTGAAATGGCTTCAAGTCCAAAGAGCACCCTGGACATTATGCTACCTACCAGGTAAGGGGGAAGATGAAAATTTTCTGTCAGACAGATGAGAAAGAGAAATGATAAAAATGTAATGTAAGTGACTTTTTAGGAGTTTAGGTAGTTACTTAGCCCTCTAAAACGTCTAAATCACTTCCTTCATATTAGTTTCTAAATGAGCTAGGGCTGGGGCGGGGGGAAGGGGGGGTTGGAGTGGTAGCCATCACCAGTCATGCTGATGTATATCTGGCTACTGGACCCGTGGCTCCAGAGGAGAAAGTGAGGCTGGTGACTTTGCACAGCCCTGCCTCACTTAAATCCAATTCACTTGCATCACCTTCCTGATGTCATGGTGCTCTTCAAGAATGAAGGACAAAAAACAATAAATTAGCTATAGTTTTAGGCTTGACTTCTGCCAATATAATGTGGCAGAGTGCCTACAGATCTGGCCTCCAAGTAATTTACTTATCAAAAGATTTTTGGTCTGAACTCCTGATTTCACTGGCTTGTAAATCCCCAGTGAGGAAACCCTCTTGATCAACGTAAATCATTATCTGCTAAGAAGTTAATGACTTGCCCAGGGCCACCTAGCCAGTTTGTATCAGAGGCAGGGCTTGAACCCTGGTCTCGATTATTCCAAGTCTGGCTCTATCTGTCCACTGCTATTGCCTTTCATCAAACAATTTGACCAATCTTAAATATGTGTTTGTGTGTACTCACACATCTTGCTTTTCCCAACCTATTTTCTCCTTCTAATAACAGAAGAGAAGTGGCCATACTGGCTTCTATCCTTCAGCCCAAGGTTAGCTCCTAAAATTAGAAGGAACTGATTCAGATTTCACTAAGAAAGTTACTAATTAAGGTCCTTTATGTTCTGGCCCCTCCCTATCTTTAGATCCTTCTTAGAATCTTCCCTTCTAAGCAATCCCTATCTGGAACACAACTGCTCATCTCTCTCCTCTCTGACTTTGCACTGGCCTTCCCCCAGGCTCAGAATGCTCCTCCTCCTCGCATCCACCACCTGGCTTCCCTGGCTTCCTTCAAGACTCAGTTCAAATGCCTTCTTCTACTGGAGACCTTTGCAAGTTATTCATACTGTCCCTGCCAAACACATATGCTGATACTGCCTGCAGCTAATGGCTAGGATAGAGCACAGGACCTGGAGTCAGGAAGACCTGAGTTTGAATTTGACCTCAGACACTTCCTAACTAGTCAAGGAAGTTTGTCAAACTGCCTCTGTTTCCTCTTCTGTAAAATGAGCTGGAGAAGGAAATGGCAAATTACTCCAGTGTCTTCGCCAAGAAAACCCCAAATGGGGTAACAAATAGGAGGACATGACTGAAACAACTCAACAACCTCAACTGTAAAATGTAGATAACCCTACCCAGGGTTGTTGTGAGGAGTGCCTGACACCTAATAGGCCCTACATAAACATTTATTCCCTTCCCCCATTTATGCTGTATATAGTTTGTGTATAATTTTGTTGACTTTCCCAACTAGACTGTAAGCTCCTTGAGGGCAAAGCCTATGTTTTCGCCTTTCTCTATGCCTGGAACATAGTAAGCCCTTCATAAATGCTTGTTGACTATTTACTTCTATGTCCTTGCTTCAACTAATAACACAAATTGACCCCTTTTGCTGACTTCCTCCTCTCTGCTGGCTTTACTTTCCTCGTGAGAAAGGTCATCTGTTAAGGCACTGGGAAAAGATGTGGTTGTGTTCTTAGGGGCAAAAGAAGAAAAAAAAAGTCCCATAGGATGCAGCATGATGCAGTGGGAAACACACTAGTTCTGGAATCAAAGGACTTTGGTTCAAATACCACCTGGCTAAAGCTTTTACTCTGTGACTGGGTCACAAACTTCAATCCCTCATCCTCAAAATGGGAGTAGGTGTGAACTAGATGGCCTCTAAAATCCCTTCCAGGTCTAAACCTATGATCTCAACCAAAAAAAGAGAGGGGCAAGCCAATTTATTCTCTTATTTAGAAGTCGGAGGTTAGTCCTGCAAGACAGTGCACTGACATCATGTGTGTGGCCACCACTGGAAAGAGCCTGTTGAGTAAAAGGCTTAGGGACAGGCAGGAACCTCAAGCTAAGAGAGTTTTAACCAGCCAAGAGAGGATCCCTTTCTTTTTCATCAAAAGAAATTAAATAGAAACCCAGTTTGTTTAAATTATCTATGATCTATTTCATTAAAGCCATAACATTTCCCTGACTGTCCGCCAAATACACGCTCAAAAGAGCATTTATATATGCCTGTGGTCTCCAGGGAATTAATCTGATAAGGGTCTGATTTAAACCAACCCAAGCTGGAAAATTAGTGGTTGGGTTGATGATTCTTTGTCTTTCCCCCATGATGTCTGCAAGATGCCAGTCTATTTAATAGGACCAACGTTCATGTCACAGTTTCTCATCATTGAATCAGTGGGTACCACCTCACTGTGGACAACTCTTTTCCAAAAAAAAAAAAGAAGAAGAAGAAGAAGAAGAAAAAAAAAAAGGAGGGAAATAGAAGCTAAGAGACTGAAAGAAATGAAATCCCATGGACAACTCCACACACTTTATTTTGACAAAGCTGGCTCTGGGCAGGTCTTCACTTGTAGGATAATGCTACTGACAAGTGGAATGGTAAGACAAGTCATGAAATGAACTGAGAAACCTACAAGCCCCACCCAAATTCTGGCAGAAGAGACAGTGGTTATAAAAGTGGCTTTCTCCTGAGCCTGTATGTCCTCTAGTCGCACATAAATGTCAGCAGCTTGAACCTCAGAGTTATTTAACTGATCCAGAACACTAAGATGGGCTTTCCCACAGAGCCCCACCCTTCCTCATTTATATGCACCGCAACAATTTTCAATAAACCTCCAGCAGCAGCAAATTTCCCTCTAGTTCAGTTGCCAAATGAAGTGTCAGTGGGAAAGGGAGAAACCCACAGACAGCCTAAGGCAGAATGTATTGATAAGTCACTGATGCCACTCAAACCTCAGAAAAAGAATCTGAAAGGCAGAAGGGAGGAAGGCCAGCTGCCTTTTGAATTCTAGTCGCTATGTATTACCACACGGACCACCATCTCCTTTTTTTCTTTTCAATAACTGAGAGACGTCGGCATAAATCCATCACCCAGGATCACTTCTTTCACCTTGAGGTGCGTTCAATCTCAATCATTATTTTGTCTTCTTTGCTCACCCTCCCACTAGGGCCATCCTCTTGAATTTCTTCCACAAAGTCCCCTCCTGCCTTACCATAACAGTTCAACCCGTCTCCACTGTAGCCTTCCAAACACTTGCAGACATAGCTACCCTCAGTGTTGATGCACTCAGATGACTCTGGCTGGCAAAGCACATTATCCGTTTCACATTCATCAGTATCTACGAAGAAAACAGTTTAATAGGTAAGGTGTGGAGTCTTCCCTGGAGTAAACGGTCAAAATATGAAAGAAGGAAATATGGTACTTCACAATCCTAAACTGCGTCCTTAAGCTTGGATGTAGAGTTAACTTCAGGACAAATTTGCCTGCGGGTTCTCAAATATTTGCTTGGATAAGTGTCCTATTAGGGAGAGAGAAAAGGACTAGATCTGATAGCTCATTGATACAGGGAAATCCCTGATGATAAGCCCTATTACAGTATCCCCATTTCAATCCAATGACCATCATTAAGTGTCCATTACTTTCAATGAACTGTGATAGGGATTTCAGATTTTGTGATTTCATTGGGACAGGGAGTTGCTAAGTGAAGAAATTCCTCCTCTCAATACAGGTCAGCATCTTCTCTGCATCTAAGAGTCACAGAGAGTTTCCTGGTTGTTGAGGAGAAGCAGGACTTGAACACAGGTCTTTCCAAGCTCTACAGCCATCTCTCTATCCATTACACCCCACTTTCTGCACTAGTAATACAAAGATTTTATTGTTTAGTCATTCAGTTGTATCTGATTATTCATGACTAGGAGTTTTCTTGACCAAGATATTAAAGTAGATTACCGTTTCCTTCTTCAACTCATCTTACAGATGAGGAAACTGAGGCAAACAGGGTTAAGTGACTTGCCCAGGGTCACACAGCTAGTAAGTGTCTGAGGTCATATTTTACCTCTGGTCTTCCTGACTCCAGGCCTGGCACTCTATCCACCGGGCTACCTAGCTACCCATAACATAAAGAAAAACAAGTTAATTTCTGCTCTCATGAAGTTTATATAGGTGAATAAATTTTAACACTAAAGACCATGTTCACTATACTTATGTCAATCCCTTCCACGGATTTTTTTTCCAGTTAATGACAATATACATTCTGTGGTTACCAATGCAAGCTAGAAATGAATACAACACAAGTTACTGCCTAACAGTAACTACCTGAGCTCTTGAAAAACAAATACTTTTGGTGGGCCTGAAAAGATGATTTTAAAATTATGTTTATGTTTACTCTTTTGTTGCCAAAGCTAATCGTTGACTTTTCTTCTTGTTAAAGCTAATTGTGTGTAATCATATTCTAAAATAATCTTTTAGAATAATGTGACAAAATACTTGACATCTTTTCATGTTTTTCTATAATTTGTTTCTTCCATTCTGTTTATCTGATAATGAAGGAAATGTCTCAGATCTGATGGTTCCAGCAGACTTTGGGAAGGCAGGATTTTAATTCAGTGACAGCTAAAGAGAAGGTATATTAATGTTCCTAGCTCTATATGTTTAAGTCTTTATAATTACCAGAGCAGATGGTTCCATTCCTGGTGAATCCTTCCAAGCACTGACACCAGGTATCCTTTCCCTCTGAAGTGCACTGAGCATTCACACCACAGTCCACAGGGGCACAGCCATCCTCGTCTGCAAACAGAGAAAACTACCATCAGAGTATTTCTGAGTCTTTGAAGAGAAAGGGAATTTTCATGTTCCAGGTCCTACAAAATATTTCAGGATTCTATTTCTTGCCCAAGTCCTAAGGAAGGCTAAACCCCAAATGGATTTTTTTCTCCACAAGCACTTTGCTGACTTTTAAAAGCTTGTCTAGGTCAAGGGAATTGTAAGGCATATGCTTCTGATTTATTTACAAGCAATTCATCAAATTGGTGCTTAAAGAACTATCTGGTGTCCAAGAAGCTTTGTGAGTCCATTTGTGTGCTTTTTAAAGCAATTTTTTAAAAGAAAATTTAAAGTATGACTTGGCATTCTTTCAAGAATAAATGGATTCAGATTTCAAAAGTTTCAACATTCTGTTGGCAATCCTCAACCAGTGTGGCAGTAGGACAGAACCAATATAATTCTTATGTCCCTAATAAAAGGCAAATAGGCTTAAAATATGAGTAGGTTTGTGTACTAACATGGAAAAAAATCCAACCATAAAAAGTGTTATCCTCAATTTACTAAAATCATATGTGCCAAGACACAGGAAATTAGAATGTGAATGTCACTGTTCATATTCACTATCGAGATTTATGCAATGACTTGCAAACCTTCAGGCATTTTACAGAGTCACAAACCATGCAAGCTAAATACTGTTAAGGGATCATCTCATTTCATACTCCATGGAAATGCACCTCCCTCCAGGGACAAGAGTAAGGCTTTGAGCAGCAGACAACAGCAACATTCTAAGAGGCTTTTTCAAAAGGCTCACTTATGCAATGATTCTCTGAAATGTGAATTCACTTAGGGAACAGGAATAACCCATCAGAAGGGTAGGTTATAGAAGCCAGCTGTATTAGAACATCTCTATAACTGATAGAGGAAATATAACTGTGCCTAGCTATGTGAAGAGGCAGTGATAACAGATCCCCTGAGAAGCAATACAGTAGAAAGAATTTTGAATTGGGAATCATAGGAGCTGAGTTTGAATCCTGGGTCTTCCATGTACTGCCCACAAAACCTTGGGCAAGTCATCTACCTCCATGGGCCTCAGTTTTCACATTTGTAAAACAAGCAGGTTGGATGAGATGACTTCTAAGTTCTCTTCCACTCTATAATCCTCTGTTTTGGGCACCACAGTTTTAAAAAGACAATGATAAACTGGAGCAAGCCCAGAGAGGAGTGAGGCTAGTGAGGGGCCTCGAGTCCCATGATAAATGAAAATCAGGTGAGCAGAAAAGCTGAAAAGTGGGTGGGGGTTGGGTGGAAATGAAGATACCTTGTTTGGGGGCATGATTTTGAAATTCAGAAAACACCAATGGGTCTGGGAGAGAAATGAAGACAGACTGACCTGAGCACATCCACAAAATAGAGACTTCAGAAGGAATTCACTAATGGAAGAGGGGTGGAATATTCCAGGATGAGCCAGATGCAGGGTTGGTAGACAGTCCCAGGATGACGAGGCCTTGGGCACTGAGGGAGTTTCAGGATGATACAGCAGTAGAGGCACGGTTTTGAAGCCCAGAGCGGGTATTATCATCAAATAAACTGAGGCCCAGGAAAGTCAAGCAATTTGCCCAAGGTCTTACAGCAAATCTGCAGTAGAACTCACCTCCTGATTCCTTGTATAGTGAAAGATCTTATCCTAGATAAGAAAAGACTTGCGGTGGGGAAGGGTGGAGAACATAGCTTTCTTGAAGTATCTGAAGGACTCTGATGTGGAAGAGGAATTACCATTATTCAGCTCAGCCCCAGAGGGCAGAAAGAAGAGCAAGGGATGCATGGTGCAAATTGGCAAATAGGAGTTTGAGGTCAAGACATAATGTATGAGATTAAGTCTCGAGACATTCTGTTTCTCACCTTTCTTGATACTCACCACCTTTCCTGATTTTACATTATATGTTACACCTGTGACAACCTGGCTACCTTCTTCTCTCATTCTCAAGACACTGAGATAATACAAACAAAATGGAGCCTGAGATACTGATGCCCTCCCAACTAAACATAGATTTAGAGAATTAGGTCCTCTAAGCCAAGTGGTGCCAAACTCAAACAAAAAGTTTGTTGTTGTTGTTGTTGTTGTTGAATCATTTTAGTCATGGTCCAACTGTTTGTGACCCCATTTGGGGTTTTCTTTGACAAAGTGGTTTGCCATTTCCTTCTCCAACTCCTTTTATTGATGCGGAAACTGAAGTAAACAGGGTTAAGGGACTTGCCCAGGGTCACACAACTAGTAAGTGTTTGAGGCTAGATTTGAACTCACAAAGATGAGTATTCCTGATTCCAAGCCCAGAGTTCTATGCACAACGGTGCCACCTGGCTGCCCAAAATAGAAAGCATATTGATTTCAAAAACCACAAAGTAACATTATCTGTGTTCTGTTGTATTCTCATTTATTTTTTAAGCATTTCCCAATTACATCTTAATCTGGTTCTGCCAGGGAAGTTTAACATTCTAGTCCAAACCCCTCCATTTCACAGATGAGGAAAACAAGACCCAAGGAGGTTAAGTGACTTACCTAAGGTCACATAGAGTCAATGGGAAGATTTGAACCCAGTTCTTGTGACTCCAGAACCAGTGTGTTTTCAACTCTATAGAATGATTCTCTCAGTCTTGATCCTCTTTGGGTTAGTCTTTTGTAATATTAGTGTTTATAATATAATATTGTCCCTACTTCTATTCTTACTGTGAATTTATATTTCTTATTTATAAATTATGATTCATATTTGTAAAGCATTTAGCACAGTGCCTGGTACATGGTAGATGCTTAATAAATACTTGTTCCTTTCCTCCTCCTCTACCTCTGATTTTTTTTTTAATTTTAAAAGGATATGACTTTATTTCTGCCTTATCAAAAGCAACATCAATCTTCCCATGGTCTCATTTTCGTGTTTTTCCTACCAGAGTCAAGCAACAACAGGTAAGGATGGCAGGCCACACCCCCATTTTGGTACGTAATCTGGTGAGCGGTCCTTAAAGTGAAATTCTTTGAGAACCATGGTTTCGATAGGTTCCCAATGGACTAGCAAGCCAACGGCAGAATATGGAACAAAATTCTAAGTTTTTGCAATGGTCGACTTAATATGTAGCACCAGGCTAGTCCCACAGCATTTCTGCGCTTACTCTGCTACCTGGAAAATGAGACTATCAATGTTTATACCTTGTGAATCCCATCAGCTTATATTTGGCAATTAGCATCTAGCTGCTGTAAGTATTGTTTCTCTCTTTCTCTCTCTCTCTCTCTCTCCCTCCTTCTCTCCCCCCTGCCCCCACTCATCAAAGGATTAGAGGATGACAAACAAAATTATGGCAGAGAATAAACCAGGGAATTCAGATGTGGGTGGCTGGCACTATCATCACACTCCAGACTTCATTCTTTCTTTTTTTTTCACTTTTGTTTTCAGCATAATTTCTTCCTGGAGAATTTTCAAGACCATAACCTCCCATATGGGCTGTAAATGAGTCAGGTTCATGCCCTGCCTTCTAAAGAAAGAAAAGTCAGGGGAAGAAAAGAATCTGAGTTCAGAAGTTCAGGAACACTGCCCTAGTGCAGATACAACCTCGTTTTAAATAGGGGATCAAGTTAATGTAGTTGGAAAATTCAGTTGTAGGACTTTGGAAATCATCTGGTCTAATTCCCTCAGTTGCTCATATTAAGGATACCAAAGCCCAGAGGAGGGAAATGACTTAGCCAGGGTTACACAGGCAGTAGGTAACAGAGCAAGAATTTGAACCCAGGTCCTCCGTTTCCAGGTCTAATACTCAATCACCATATTGTCTGTCTTCATCAGCAAATGATCTATATGGACCAGAGGCAGGAGAAAGAACTCATTGTTCCTACCTGTAACCGTGAGTTCAGCTACTAGTCCATGTCTGGGCTGTTGCTCTGCCCTGCTGTCATCTTCCAATGTTCTTCCCAACGCATTCTCCGGTGCTGTTGTGCCATTGCTTAGATTCATCTTACTGGCTGTTGGAGAATAGCAGGTAGAATGTTTTATCATTTTTATTCAAAAAAAGCATTTCTTTTATTGGTATTTAAAGTAGAATTTTGTTTACAAGTTCAGAGCTTGCTCAGAGTATAGGACAATAGCCCTGGGCCACTAGCTCTGGGGTCTCTTCAAACACACGATGGAAAGAGGCTAGAATGAAGTAGGATATACAACCAGCTGCTACTAATGAACATCCACCGTTTTATATTGAACATCAGACCCTAAATTGTCCTCCACAAACACATACACCCCATCACCAAAACAAAGAGATGGGGCTATCTCTCTCTATTTGCATCTATATTCCTTAGTATGCTCTGTTATGTCCTTTCTTCTTCAAGACTGCCCTTAAGATTCATTTTAATCTAGATTTCCCTTTTTAAAAAATTGGGGAATGAGGCACCTCAAAATGTGATTTATTCTGGGACTTCACAGTCCCCTATCACTTGCCCACCCCTGAACCACACCCAGAAAAATCCACACAAATTTCCTGTTTTTTAGGAAATTTAGGAAATTAAATAAATTAAACAATTAAGACAAAGGCTAAAAATTCAATTACTGGCATTTTATAAAGGATGAATTCATCGATAGACTTAGTTATCTGTTTATCAGTATGCCAATTTCTACTTTGATAAGTATAGATTGAAAAAATTAAAGGATTCAAATTTTAAAATGAATTATCTGATCTTCCTTAGAGCAACACAGGTATCGAACAGTGAACTAAGATGCACAAAATTAGATTTTTAGAAAGGTATATAGTGAAATGGAAAAACACATCCCTTCTCCAGGGACCTATTATATTTGCTTTGTTTTCTCTACCTATCCCTCAGAGGCTTGGTTAGAGTGAACAAATGTAGATTCTTTCAAGGTAGCATGACAGAAAGAGCCTAGACTCTAAAACCAGAGGATTTGAGTTTAAATTCCACCTCTGATGCTCACAATTTGTGTGACCTTGGGCAGATCACTTAACTTCCCTTTCTTCAACTTTACAATGAAGGTGTTGGACCAGATGGCTTCTGAGCTTCCTTCCAGCATTCTAGATTGAGGATTTATAACCGCTTCTTCTGAATGGATTCTTGCCCTTCTACTCCAAAGCTGACTTTTTGTTTTATTAATGAGAACAGTTCTAGAATCTGGTCCTAAGTTCAGAAGCAGCATGAAAAGCAAGATGCGTTTTTGTTTGTTTGGTTGGTTTTGGTTTTTTATGATGCACAAAATTCTGCTCTGATTCTTCATTATGGCGTGAAGGTGACCCTGGGTTTTTCAAGCTAATGCAGGTACAAAAAAATGTAAAGTCTTCAAGAATAATCTCAGCAAGAAATAATGTGTGCTTTCTGAAAATCAACCTAGTAAAATATGGAGACTTTCACTGCCAATGGGGTTGGCCAAGCCTATGTTTCCAATTCATTATACATTAGTATTCCTCCTGCCAAAATGGCCTTCTCTCTGATGCTCATAAATAACATTTTATCTCCAATCCCTATGTTTTTGAATTGACTGTCCCCCATGCCTGGAATGCACTTCCTCCTCACCTCCATCTCATAGAATCTCTCTCTTTCAAGACTCAGTTCATGCACACTCTCTACAACAGAGTTCTTTACCAGGGATCTGTGAACATGTGTTTTTTAAAAAAAATTTTTTAACTATTTCAATACAATCCGTTTCTTTGGCACCCTTTTGTTTTATTTTATGCACTTAAAATCATTATCCTGAGAAGGGGTTCATAGGTTTCACCAGACCGCCAAAGGAGTTCTATGACACAAAAAAGGCTTTTGAAGCTTTTCCTGACTCACTTCCTAATCCATTTCCTCACTCTCCACTACCAATGCCCTCTGTCTCAAACTAATGTGTATTTAACAATGTTGTATATATTTCCATTTTTTTTTCATGTTTATCCTGCATATGTCTTTGTTGCCTCCCCCACTAGTATGCCATTTCCTGGTAAGTGGAGTTTGCTACATTATTTGCATATTTACTGCCTAGAACAATTCTTGGAACATAGCAGGTGATTAATAAATGCCTGTTGTTTGATTGAACAGGTGAAAATACATCATCGTCATCATCAGATATACTGTCATCTTGGTTTGCAGCAGTTGTGCATAGGCATGGGATGAAGATAATTGCTACTTAGGGACCAATATTTGTTATAAAGGATGAAGAAGTAGAGAACATCTTTGGAGAAAGTGACAAAAAAAATTAAAAAGGAAAAAAAGAGACAAGACCCTCTAAACAAGTTAATATATATTTTGATACTTGGTGAATTCTATGGTGGAGAAAATCTCTTTTAAAATTGGGGGAGATTAAAAATGAAAGAAACCAAACACTTATAGCTTACTAAAAAGCTGCTTATCTACATATCTTAGATGTTTCCTTCAAGAAAAGAATTGGAAGATGCTACAGACATAGTGGTCACCAAACATGACTCCAAGAAATGAAATTAACTGACACAGTAAATAACCGGTTCCTAACATTTCAGAATCAGTGGTCTGTGGCTGGAGCAAAGGTCAAAAACAACACCAAATTAGAACAAAAAATAGAAATAGAAAGACATCACATGTAATTACAATAGTTACAAATGCACTCAATTTCTTTAAGTAAAGCATTGACCCTGCAAAGTGAGAAACTGATTAAAATAAAGACACTGGCACTGCTTACAATCCTAAGAGAAGTTTACCTGATGTAAAACAATTTAAAACCCAACAAGGAGGTCAGAAGAGTTAAGAAAATTTCTCAGCCAACAAACACTCAATCTCTTTGCCAAACAGGAACATGGCAGTTAAGAGAAATACTGGTTTCGATGAAGCTCATATGCAAAACAGCATAGAGAAGATGGAGGAAAGCTTATGAATTCTATCTTCTTATAAAACAGTGAAAAGCAGGGGATGAAAAAATGAGCCTATACCAATCTTGGTATGAGACCCTACTAAGCCAATTTGACTAGACAAAAGAACAAAATCATTCCAATAACATTTAGAAACAAAATTAAGACGAGATCAACAAATAGATGTGAAAGGACAGAGATCTACTAGAACCAATTACTTGGGAATTTTAAAAGCTGGTACTGACCCCGTATTCCATATAAAGAACTGGAAGGAGCACATAAGATGAAGTTGGGAGGAAAAGTTGATCCTGATCAAATGCGTGCAGAGAAAATCTTTTTTGCTGACTACACACCTAAGAATCAATGTTCCTAAAGACACTTAGATATTTCAACTCTCAAGATATGTCAAAGAGGTGAAGAGTCCAAAGGATTAAAAAGGATTATGAGTAATACTATTACTTTGTTAAAAATAGATAGATTGATAGATAACCAAGAAGATAACAAAAACAGATCAATATGCCCCCTTCCTTAATTCTATAAACCTTTATGACAGTGTTCTATGAGCACATTAAGTGAAGATGCAAAATCCTCAAGGAAGATAGGAGAGGGAGAGAGAGGAAGACAGAGA